CTGTTTGGGTGCAGAGGGGATCCCCATGGGATTGAGGGTGGCAGTTTGAAGGGGACACCCCCAGGGGATGCCCCGTGTCCTGCGAAGCTGTGGAAAAGCAGGTGACAAACACCACATCCCAGCAGGCTGCAGAGGAGCAAAGGGATCTCCGTGGGGCTAAAACCCACTTTTCCTCGGAGCAGCAGCCATTCCCACCTCCCGGGTCCATCTGCGCCCTGCCCAGCGAGGCGCAGGCCGGGCCCGAGCGCGGGGGCCGCTCCCGGGCCTCCCGCAAACCCCTGGAATGTCGGGGCCTCCGGAGCCCTCCAGAAGCTGCGGAGGACGGCGCCCAGCCCGCACTCTTTACGTTGGCAGCTTATAAACCGAGGGATTGACGGGGGAGCTGGCAGCCGCCGGGCCCCGAGCTCTCCGGGGCCGTGCTTAATGGGGGCCTGTGCTCCGATACCACCCACGGCTCCCGCAGAACCCCCGAGGCCCAGAGGGGTCGGGAGCACAGAGCTGTGCCATGGTTTGCCTTGGAAGGGACCCCAAAGATCAGAACTGCTATGGGCATGGTCCAAGCCATGGCTGCTAGGACAGGGAAGCTGCTCTCTCCAAGAACATCTCAATCTATCCTTCTCCAAACCCTGCCGGCTCCTGCACACACAAGAATCCCGCCTCAAAGTTTTTCCCTCTCCTTAAGCACATCTTCCTTTTAATCCCTTTAGTTGAGATTCCTGTGCAGGCCAGGAGTTGGACTTGATGATCCTTGTGAGAGCCTTCCATCTCTGGATATTCTAGGCTCCTCTGAATAATTTGTGGCATTGCACACTTGCACCACCCAATGCTTCAGCCAGGGATGCACAATAAATACAAATAAAATCACGTCATTCTATATAAAGATGCAAAAAAACAATCTAAGAGGTATTTATAATCTGCCTGGCTATCTGCTGGAAACTCTCCATGGAGGAATCCCTGCTGCTGCCTGCTCCAAGCAGGCAGGCTGTTGTAAAACACCAGAAATCCAGTTATTTTGCAGTGACTGCACCTATGCTTCTCCTCCTAATTCTATTGAATTATATGTAAACAACCAAAAATCCACACTGAAAAAAAAAACAACCTAGAAAAGGAGGAAAAAAATAGAGGAAACCAGCTATTTTTGTTTTCTAATTAAGCAGCAGCTTCTACTAACACGTCTCCATTTGGGGAAAGAGTCTCTTTCCCGACTTCCAACAAGTCCACCACATGGTGGGCTTTGAGAACCTCGCCATGGAAAGTATGCAAATGAACAATATTTAATGCACAATATGGTAAAACAGGTTTTGTTATTTTTATGGAATCAGGAGCCTTTTCTCTCCATCTGCAGTCTCCTAGGCTCTGCAGGCTCTGCTTCCTGCGATGGTTTACATACATTAGGCTGCTTTAGAAGGAGCTGTGCTTTCATTGACATCTGGAGTGAAACGGGAATGAAAAGCCCAATTTGTCGCTGGATGGTTTAGGGAAGTTTCATTAGGGATGTATTGTCTCTGCTCATTTTGACCCCGGTTTCCATAAAGCCTATTCTTAATATAGTTTTTCAAATGGTTTCAAAGTTGGAAAAGAAAATTTAAAAAAAAAATAATGAAGCCACATCTCCAATTGTACCCATGAAAAATGAAAAGAAATCACTGTTGGTGTCTGCTGTAGCCTGGGAAAATGGAAAAATAAAACCCATTCAGGTGTCCTCTCAGGGCTATTTCTCCACACTTACCGGGAGTGTTATAGGGAAACAGAAATTTAGGCTGGAGATCAGGGAAAGGTTCTTCCCCCAGAGGGTGCTGGGCACTGCCCAGGCTGGGAACAGGCACGGCCCCGAGGCTGCCAGAGCTGGAAGAGCGTTTGGACAGCGCTGCCAGGGATGCTCAGGGTGGGGCTGTTGGGGTGTCAGGAAAAACATCAGTTTCACTTAAATCAAATTTGAACAGACACTGCCCACTCAGACCCTGAGTGTTCATCACACACAGCTGGGGCAGGGGGTTTATTCCCCAGCTGTATTTGCCAAACACTGACATTTCATTACAAAGTGATTCACCAAGGGAAATCCCTGGATCTGAGACTAACTCAGCCCCGAGTCCGAGGAGCACTGTGTGACTGACACACACACGCTGCATTAGGGAGCTCAGAATACCTGAATTAGGTGCTCTTGCCAAAATCAATATTTGTAAATATTCATAACTATGGGGATTCCTGCATATGCTTAATGTCAGTGGTCCCACTATTTCTGAAAACTGCACAAATGTTCAACTGTACCTGCAGTTAGTGTTGCTGGTGCTCCCTTAGCATAAATTAATATTAATAAAGGTAACAGGGAGAATGCAGAGCATTTCCAGGTATTTATCAACCATAAGCCTACCGTGAGGACTTGGCAATCCAGAGGATTTTGCCACCACATTCCTCAATTGTCTTCAGTGCTCCAGCTTGTCTGCCTGGGAGGGGGACTGACACCTTATCAGTAGGGCAACTGTCACAGACAAACCTCTTTTTAAGGGAAATGCAGATAAAATGGTTCTCTTTAGTCTTTGCAGTGCTCTCCCAGGAAGCGTGGAGTGCTGACACCAGGATCCCATTTCCCAGAGAGAAGAAGGATGGATTTCACAGAGACATGTTGCATTAGGACTTCCACAACCACTGCTCCAGCTGCCAAACAAGAAGCCCAGCACAGAGATCCTTCCTGCTCCCCCCCCAGCTCAGACTGGCTCCTGGGTGTTTATAAGAGATATTTTGAATAGCTGCAATTAGTGGAAGAGAGAGCAAAGTAATTGTGGAGATAAGCACAAGCCTGGGTGAACAGCAGTTAGAACACTTCTGGATGATAAATATTCCCTGGCACGCAAGGTAGCTGTGTCCAGCTCCCAACTTGCATCTCAATCCACACCTGAGATCAGCTCCAGCATGGGGGGATATCAGACAAACGTTCTTCTGCCACCTGTCCTGGCCAAATTCTACAGTTTTGGGGGCTTAAATCATGTATTCAAAATGATCTTTGGGCTCAGGCTCTGTAAAAATAAAGTCAAGACATAGCTGAGGATGAAGAAAAACTCTCCAAGAAAGTACACATCAAATCATGCCCCAAAAAACCTTTGGCTACGGGTGGGAGCAAAGCACAGGTGCTGGGATTTCTGGGAGATGGATTTCTGTGAGAGGGATTTCTGGGAGCACTGCTCTGTTGGGTTGTTTCACAGCGATCCCAACGCTGGCTGGACGCTGTGCCTCATATTCCCCCTATCCTGTTTACTGAAGTCTCAGGCTGTGGCTCCAGTTTCAGGATCCACTCTCTTGGCTCTGTGGCAGCCTGTTTGGGATATCTCCTGGAGCACTGGGCAGAATAAATCAGCTGTGCTGGCAGACAGGCAGGGGGGAACATCGTGGCTTCCAGCAGCAGCCAAGACACAAAGATCTGGGAGAAGAGCACCTCTCATCTCTTTTCTGGGACATGCATCCCATATATCCCCTTCCTGCCATTGGGCAGCTGACAGCCGGCTAATCCTGTGCCAGAAATTCCCATGGGCAGGGAATTTTTCACATGGAAACAATTCCTCCCAGCCAGCAGCTCCCTGGGCAGGAGACTGATCTCAGTCAGACACATCCTACTGAGAACGTCTGGTGCTCGGGTTTAGGAGGCTAAAGCGTCTCAGGACTGGGAATGACGGTGAGGTTTCCTTTCTGCCAGCTCCAGGTGATAAGATCCCATGTTTTCACTGTGGGAAACAATCCCACATTTCGTTTCATATTCCTGCACTGATCCTCTGTGTTCTCTTTGACTACTTCCAATTGTTTTCTAAGTTCAAAAATAAGATAAAATTGGAGTTGAACATCCGGGTGTGGAAGCTGCCAAAACATCCCTTCTGCTGACATTTACTTTGAGATTCCAAACTGACCAAAAAATAACCATGGTGCCCCACACGTATTTTACTCCAGAAAAATCTGGAGCTCCCATTGTGCTCCTTCCAGCCAACCAACAGTGGCCCATCTCAGAAGAAACCGAAGGAAAACATTTCTTCTACCAATTTCCAGTAGGTCTGTAAGGCCCAGAGCAGACAATTTTCCCTGGATGAGCACTCC